CCATTGGTCCAGGACACCTGCAAGGGAGTCCCATGATGTGAGGCTGGACTTGGGGGCAATCACAGTGACAGAGTCCCGCTTATCTGCAGGAGAAGCTGGGGGCCGGCCCCTGCTCATATGCAGCCAGCAGGCCGGCGGTGGTCTATCCTCCAGTGACCAATTTGAACGACATGATTCCCAGACCCTGTTCTGGGCTCAGAACTTCTCTGTGGCCTGCAGGGAAGGCCAGACCACATTCACTTTTGGGGTGCAGAAGCCCCACCCAACGGGCTCCTTCTGGAACGATTCCATTGCCGGCCTCTCCATGACCTACCAATAGCTCCTGGGCTCCAAGGTGACCTTCACGTCCGTTCTGGAGAATCGCTTCTACCCAGCGTCTGCCCGCCGCTGGTTTGCCATGGAGCGCCTGGAAATCTGCACCCATGGCTGTCACCCGCTCCAGTGCCTCCCGGGTCCCAGGGGCAGCCCCTGCCCCGTCCATGGTGGCTAGGTCAGCAGTCTCCTGGTGGCGGCCAAGGGGCCCTCCCTCTGGCAGGTAACTCTGAAGGACTTCCAGATCCCAGCTCTTAATGTGACAGGCGAACGGTTCTCCTACCCAGCGACTGTGCCGGCTTCTTCTCCCCCTCCTCCACCCCCCACCTGGATGGGGCTGCTCACCTTTCTCTTCGTGGTGCTCATCATTACCTGTGGCCCGCACATGATTCTCAGCCTCAAAACCACGGATCGTTTTGATGACCATAAAGGCCTCGCTATCTCTTTGACCCAAATCGTACTAGCTGTGGCACTGAGGGCTTGGGGGATGGGGCATCCAGGCTGTCAGTGTCACACCTTGTGGTTTCTTCCGTGCCTACTACATGCCATGATTCTCCTATGTCCTGTGCCCAGCCTCCACCTGCTGAGGGTCTTCCCTGTGGAGATGTACATATTCTGCATAGATATTAACTCTCTGTGGAGCCATAAATGTCAGGGATAGGAGATCTAGGATCTCCCTTCGTAAATATTCTTGTCTGTCCACCGGTGTTGCCTGTATTGGAAGTGCTTATTCCTTGCATTGTAGCGCATGCTCTTTGCAGCAGCCAGAAGCTTGAGGTCATATGAGTTCGGGGAGTGTATGGAAATATGATTTCACTGTCTGACTAGCTCGGTTAGCATTATGATTTTTAGTTTGGTGATGTGATAAGAATAAACAGTATACCTGGATTTCTTTCTGTAGCCTAAAACACGGACCTGCACGGCAGGTGGCTGGTGCGTTGACTGGGTCTCTATCATGTTACTAGGAGTGCCTGGCTGGAGCTCGGGTGCTCTGGTACTATTCCCTTCCTGGTCAAATAAAACCAGGTCACATGAAAGAGAGGGAGAGAAAGAGAGGAAGGTGGGGGAGAATTCAATCACAGTATTCAATGTATATATGTCAAAGAGGCACTAGGAAATTTGAGGGGAAGGGAGTACAATAAAAGATATATTGATCAAGACACATCATAATTATAAACTGGCATGTTGAATGGTAGTCTCTTTGTACAACTACTTTAAAAAATATATAATTTAAGGCCAGGAGCTGGTGGAAAGAAGGAAGGGAGGGAGGAAAGGAGGGCGGAGAGAAAAGAAAAGGAAGGCATTTGAACATAGTTTTCAGCTATGAATATATTTTTAAAAAGCAGATGAAATGGAGGTATAGCTCAAATGGTAGAGCAAAAACGCATACCAAAAGCAAGAGGTACTGAGTTTAAACACTAGTAATGGGGGAAAAAACTGAAAAGGCAGAGACTAGTCCCTGCCTAACCACAACATTTCTCTGACCTTTCCTTAATTCTGGCTATACTTGCAAGGCTCCTGTAATGGGTGCATCCCTCCTTACACTGTACTCCACAAGAAAAAGGGTAGGAATTATTCATCCTCTTCACTTCTGTATCCCTGTTAGCAATGTGCACAGATGGGAGACATGGGTAAGTGTTATTATTTTTTAATTACACATTCAAGATGAATGGAAACGGAAGTACTTGAATACAATATATCATCCACAAGTCTTATACTAAAATACATATACACAAACACATGCATGTTCATTTCTAGAACTAAAGTTAAAATAGGTGCCATTACCCTAAGCATAAACTGTTTGGGCATTAAGACAATGAGTAAGAAGTTGAAAGTCAGCTAGGAACTAGGAACTCTCCACCATGGATGAACAAGGCCGTGAGTCATCTTTGTGTAGAAAATTGAGGCTTGATAACATCAAGGAAACAAATGGTGAAAGCACAGCCTGTTGGGACAAGTGGGTGTATCAACCATGCTAAGCCAGGAGAAACCCCCAATAACAGGACTTCTGTATCCAGGATCATCTGATGCCCTACCAAATGAACGCAGAGAAGAGGAGAAAGGGAAGGGGAGAGGAAAGGAGAGAAGGGGAGGAGGGGAATGGGGAAGGATAGGAAGGGAAGGGGAGGGAAGGACAGGGGAGGGGAGGGAAGGGATACCATCACTTCTACTTTGTACACAAAGTGTAATACTTTATTAAGTGAAATCATGGCCACATAGCAGTTTGACCAGGAAAGTTGGGAAGTTCTTTAACTTCGCCTCCTTTTCTTCACCTGAAAAATAGGATAATTATATCCGAATGAGGGGAAGTTATATGGTAACTTCCACCATACACAGTATAGTTGTACAAGAATCAATGTTCAAGGAAGATGGTGGCATGGAAATGCAGGTAGACATCAAAGGGAAGTGGATGTGTGGTAGGTCGCTGGAAGGGCATTTCTGATGCTAAGAAGATAGACTTAGGTTGGTAACCTAAGTCTATAAGTTTTCTAAAGGTAGATCAAATATGATCATTTTTGTTGCTGTACCGATTTGGAATTTGAGGATAACAAATGAAGATTGCAAACAGTGTCAGAGACTCAGGCCTGACATCAGAAACAATCCTAAAGCCTGCAGGTGGAAGTTCATTCCACTAAAAGCAAAGAATATCAGAAAGATATAAAAAGTATAATGAGCCGGTTGCTGGTGGCTCACATCTGTAAATCTAGCTACTCTGGAGGTTGAGGGGACTCTTACCTCCAATTAACTATCAGAAAACTAGAAGTGGAGCTGTGGCTCAAAGTGGTAGAGTGCTTTAGTCTTAAGCTCAGAGACAGCACTCAGGCCCTGAGTTCAAGCCCCATAACCGATCAAAAAAAAAGTATGATGAAAATTTCTCATTTGAATTGCTCCCAATGTGCCTAATTAAGGAAGCCGTTTTGCCATGAGTCATATCACTGTTGTTTCAATTGATTGGGAAGAATCATTTATGGCTTATGATATTAAATTTGGAGAATATTGCATATTCCCTCTGAGGAAATGAATAAGCGGCTTGATGGATGCACAGCACCTGAACTGAGGAGACCAAATTGTTTCCAATTTATGAACAAACAGAATGTCTTGTAACAGAACCTTACATGGTAGTTCTAACAGTTTAACAGCTACTGCTTCTCATAAATGCTGCAGCTTTTGTTTTAACTAACATGGCCTCCTTTTTGATTAAAAAAAGCAACTTTTATTTTGGACCATTACTACTGTATGGATCTGTGAATGCTTCTTTGCTCTAAAGTTTTCTCAACCCTTCCTTCATAACCACTGCCTTGGTGGCTAATCCACCTTGATAAGCAAGCGCTAAAGCCAAATTTCTTGTTCAAAGGAAGTAAGAGTTCCATAAAGAATGAAGCCATTAAAATAAACTTAATCCCCTCCCAAATAAAATAGAATGAAGCCAAAAAAAAATGACTTCCAAACATACAAGTATAAAAAGAAATCCTTAGCCAAGCACCGGTGACTCACACCTATAATCCTAGCTACTCAGGAGGCTGAGATATGAGTATCCCAGTCTAAGCCAGCCCAGCAGGCAAATTCCTGAGACTGTTATCTCCAGTTAATGACTAAAAAGCCATAAGTGGAGCTGTGGCTCCAGTGCTGGAGCACAAGCTTTGAGCACAAAAGCTCAGACATAGCACCCAGGCCCTGAGTTCAAGCCCCAGTACCAGCACAAAATAACAATTATCATTATCATTATTATTATTATTCCTAAGGCAAAAAGAGTTATTTGTATTTCATCTGCTCTCCAAAACTGTAACATTTGGTAAAGTAATGGGTTCGTTGAGCATGATGGAAAATGGCTCCTAACAGTCATGTCAGGACGGACACAATGGCACAAACACTGTAGCGACACTTCTGAAAGCAATGCAGTTGATGAGGTTGCTGTTCCCTTTGAGCCAGAAATATCTCCAAAGCACAAACAAAAATGATTACAAGCATATGAAACAGGAGAAAAAGAAAAAGAACGAAGTGAATGTAGAGGGGAGAACGGGGATCCTGGTATCTCCTGGGTTTGGGGAAGTTCTGCCTGCACACGCAGCTCTGATTTATGCCTGGCTGGCAGGCAGCCTGGCAAGGTACCTGGTACACCCTTATCTGGCTTTTATTACAGCGGGATTGTCTAAAGCTACATTGTTTCCTTGTGTAAAGGAGGGATTACAAAGATTATATAGCAGTATTAAATCACCCAGCAGTGTCAAATACCTAACCAAAATCTTTTAAGTACCATCAAAGACAAGAGGAGACCACAGAAGTACCGGCATGGAGGAAACTAATTGCAGTGTGGGGGTCCCCGAGGAGCACGGACAAAGGACATTGCTGGACCAGGAACATCCCAATAACGTGAACTTGAGTTAGCCAGGTACCAACCAGTGAGTTACAGTAACACCCCAAGGATTATACGAGGTGCAATACCGCATGCTAACAGGATGCTTCCAGTCTGAACATGGGACATCCAATACACCCACCCCTTCAGTGAGTTCAAAGTTCTTCTCAGAATTTAAAAAGAGAAGTGAAAAACGCCTAATTCTTGGGAGTTCCTGAGTATCAGAGGCACACTGGTGACAGATGACCACTGAAGGCTGGCCATGGGGGCTGACTGCACAGTAGGTTTGACGTCAGCTCAGAGAGTGACGGCATCTTGGTCTCTTCCCTGGCAGGGTGTGCTGGGTGCATCATGTCACTGGCATGTGGGTGTATCCTTTCCTGGAACATATCGGCTCCGGAGCCAGAATCATCTTCTTTGGGGCAACAACCATCCTAATGAACTTCCTGTATGTGCTGGGAGAAGTTCTGAACAGTTACATCTGGGACACACAGAAAAGTAAGTATCATTCTGGGGAAATCATAAAAATCGGAGGTCTGCCTTCAAGGGCAGGGACTAGGGGGCAGGTGCTTCGTCTTTAGTCCTTCACGCAGGATCTCTGCTCAAACTTCGTTTTGACAATTACAATATTAATTTAGGAGCTGCTGGCAGTTTTATCTGAAAAGTTTTTATGACTCACTCCGTCTTCTTAGGTGGTAATCCAAATCTGAAGAGAAAAGAAGCATCTCCATAAAATTTTATAGAGGGGGGAAAAATCTAGCATTAACAGGGGAAAATAAAATAAAAATGGTGACTCTGATAACAAAAAAAAAGCTGCCTTGGCTGAAAGAACATCAAATAAAGTAGATAAGTTATTAAATGTCACCATAGTCTCATTAAATGTCACCCGAGCCAAACATGGTATGCCTGCAATCCTAACACTTAGGAAGCTGAGTCAGGGAGACTGTAAGTTCAAGGCCACCATGGACTACATACCCTCCAGATTTCTCAGATTTTTGAAGTCATCCATTGTGTGAGTACAGAAGACTCAAGGAGTCTCACCACCATGCCATGAGAAGTCAAAATAGCACACAAAATGCTTCTGCCAAGAAGGATATCTTCCCTTCTAAGTGGCTGCCTTTTTTTAAGGTTTGGAGGTGGTCAAGAGGTACAAGCAGCAAAAGGCAATACTTCATAGTTACAAATGCTCTTTTAACCTATGATTTGGTGTCTCTTGTTTCCATTTTGAGGAGCAGAACCTCCATCTGACAATACACACACCCTTGGCTAAGGCGAGCCAAATCTGTCCAGGGTGTATATAAGCTGCCATCAGCACTGGAAGGTGGGAAGCAACAGGAGAGATCTGTCGTGATTTGAGTCCTGCATGGAAGTATATCCAAAGATGCTGTGGGGATTGCAGGGAGTCCTGGTCATCTCCCATCCAGTCCTGGCGTTTTAGATGGACTCGGCCCCACAGACACTGAGCACCTTGCTTTGTGTCAGAAACTGCCCCTGGAGCTCAGTCTAATAGGAAAATAAACCACAGCATTTCATGGACATTGAGTCTGAATTTTGGTTTTGTGCTTGGGTCTAAGATTGTTTCAAGGTATTAAGCACTACTAAAAGGCTCCAAGAAGCGGAGCTTTCTTTGGTCAGCAGCTTTTGGGTTTGACAAGTAGCCTACTAGAAAATATCAAAATTGTTCATTAATCAGACCACGAATTGAGGAACCAGGCATTAATCTTGTGATAATGTTCCCTCCCTCTGCATGATGGAATAGTAATCTTTCTCTATCCGTTGGGAAATTTCACACAAAGGCCAGACTTCAGGTCTTTTAAGATTGGACACCATGGAGTCCATGCTTCTTCTCTGCTAACAGTCAATTTGTTTGAGTGTCAGTTGCTATCTTTAAATGGAAGCCCTGTGTGTGTTGTGGTGTGTATATGAGGTTCTACCCATATGACTTCATTTAAACTTTGTAAAGATCCTATCTATTATGGTCCCATTCTGAGACACTGGGAGCTTGGGAATTCAACCTATGAATTTGGGGAGACCTAATTCAACCAAAAACACTGCACCCCACCCTCTCTCCTCACGAAAATCCATGTCCTTCCTACATGCAGAACATACTACTCCATCCCAATGAACCCAAAAATGTCTTTCAATCATCTCATCAGAAATAAGAATATAAACTGGGTATTGGTGAGACTTGGGGCATGATTCTTTCCTGAAACAAAAATTCTGCTCCATCTGCAAGTGAACCTATGAAACCAAGCAGAAGATACCTGCTGCTAGAACACTGTGGTGGTCCATGATGTACATTGCCCTTCTAAAGGGGGAAATAGCACACGATGGGGATAGGGATCCTGGTCTGATGGGGAGCAGGGCAAATTCTCTTCCACTTGAAGGCTTGTGAATAATCCTCATTGGCTGAGTGCTCTGTCCCCAGGGATCATCAGAAGAGGTGTGACCCGGTCTTCGTGGTCTGTGGCAGCTATTCTGCCCCTTAGACCTAGGTAGCAGCAGACCTACCATCTGGAACCTAGGTGGAGCTAGTTGCCCGACCCCTCTTTGGAGCCATTGGTCCTTTATTTCCTGTTGTCTCTGTCTCTCCCACTCCAGGCTGGCAGTGTTATTGCTGGTATAAAAGTCTCAAAAATAGTGTTGGCTTCTGCCAGGAGCTAGGAGCTTGTACCTGTAAGCCTCACTACTTGGAGGTGGAGACTGGGAGCTCAGGGAAAAAGTTAGGAGACACCCTCCTCCTTGGCCCCCGGTCTCTACAGAAGCTGGGTGCAGTGGTGTGCCTGCCAGCTGAGCAATAGTGAGAAACATAAGTAAGTGAATCAGAGTCCAGTGAGGCCTTGTCTAGAAATTTAAAAATATAACACCAGGCCAGACATCGGTGGCTCATGCCTGTAATCCTAGCTACTCAGCAGGCTGAAATCTGAAGATAGCAGGTCAAAGACTGCCCAGGCAGGAAAATCCATGAGACTCTTATCTCCAATTAACCATCAGAAAACCAGAAGTGGTGCTGTGGCTCAAGTGGTAGAGTACCACCTTGAACTAAAGAGCTCAAAGACAGTGCCCAGGCTCTGAGTTCAAGCCCCACAACAAACAGCAACAACAACAAAAATACAAAAAAAAGGGCTGGATGCAAGTGATAGAACACTTGCCTGTCAAGCCCAAAATTCTGATTTCAGACTCCCATATCACCAAAAATGAATAGATGATAGATAGATAGACAGACAGACAGACAGACAGACAGACAGATAGATAGATAGATAGATATACATAGATAGAGATACATAGATACATAGTATTGTCTTCTTCCTACAATTCAAAAAGGTTTAGGCCATCAGAGGAGAAGATGTTTTATAAGTCTTCCCAGAACAATCACCTCTATTTTTTGCTGCTGCTGAGGCTGTTGATTGGATCCCTGAGTCAAATGCCTAATTCTTTAGCAAATGGCTGTTCCACCACACGCTTGGCATTCTCTCCCGTTCTGAGGAACTGAGAATCAGGACTTCAACATAAAGGGCAGGGTGGAGGTAAGGGAGAGCAGAGACACAGTTCTGCCCGTGACAGCAGCTGCATGTCTGTACTGAGTCTCAGCATCTCTTCCATTTGCAATATACCTGAGTGAGTGATGAGTCTTATCAAAATCAAATTTTGTAAGATCAGAACTGATAGCGCCCAAGAGTGGAAGGTTGGGTAAGGACAGAGCAAGCAAGCCAGTAGTGGGTGGATAGATGCCCCAGTATGTGGAAACACCCTCCTTCTTCAGCCACCCATCCCAGTCTCCTCTCCCCGGCCCTGTGGGAACACTGCCCCCTGGTGGAGCTCTTCTCCCAGTCGGTCTCCAGTTTGGTCATTCTAGTTCGGCCTACTTCGACTTGATGAAGGGTCGCTTTCTGTACTTTGTGGAAATGGCACTTTGGGATCTTACAAACATCATGTATAACTACCAAGTTTCCCCTCTGCTTCTCAGCTGTCAGACTGAAGTGGGTTGGGAACCATTTTCCCTCTCTATCAATGAACAACCCCAGTTCTCACCACTGAAGGTTGCACCATTCCTGCCACGACAGCCCCAAATAGGCCGTGCTTCGAAGGAAACTTTTCTTCAGGAAAAGCAAACTCTGATAGCTCCTTCTCCCCATGAGAGAGAACATGGGAGCAAAGTGGTGTCTGAAGTGGCCTGGCCTGTTTAAACAGCCTTTGCCTTGGATACCCAATAACTAAAGCACATGGTATCTTCTCACCCTCATGCCTATTCATCCTTCAAGTGCACTTGCTCCTCAGTCTCAAGTTTTCTTTAATATGATTTATAAGAAGAACTTTGGAAAAAGTGTAGACCTCTGGCAATTCCTTAGCCATGGAAATCAAACAAAAGTCTGAAGACTTTTGTTGGGGTCGGCCTCAAATCCTGATCCTTCTGATCTCAGCCACCCAAGTAGATATGATTACAGGAATGAGCTACTGAAGCCTGGCTATTAAAAAATGTTTTAAGTATATACAAGTATGTAAACAAACAGTTCTTGGAGCTACTAAGGTCCTCATGAGCTTTCAAAAAATAAATTTAAAAATTTAATAAAGACATTTTTGGCTTTTGAAAATCCATAGTTGGGGCCTTGGAAAGGGACAGAGCTAGAACAAAATATCTCTTGAGGTTTTTTTAAAAAAACACAGATGACTACATGGCTTTGTTGCTGGAAACTGGTTAAGAAGGAGGCGGGCTGGGGTTGCCACGCAAACTTAATGAGTCAAGACTCCGCTTGTGTCACGGTGCTTACTCCCAAGAGCCTGACGAGCTGGCCATGGAGCAGAGGTGTTGTGTCCTGACTCCAGGACAGAGCGGGCAGAGAAGTCACGGAGGATGTTTCTGGGAGAAGTTGTAAATGGCTTTCTTAGCTAGGAGTACAACAGGGGATTGTGAAGGAAGGTGGACAGGAAAACAGTGTAGGGAGGTAAGTTCTTTTGTGAGCTCTTAGTTTGGTGGCCAAATTAAATACTTTTTTTAATTTCTAGGTATGGAAGAAGAGAAAGAGAAGCCCAAATTGGAATGACATCCAGCTCTACGGAATGAGCAAAACCAGTCTGTCTTTGAATTGTTATCCCCTGGGCACTGATGGTGCAGGAAGGAAAACTTTAGAGGAAGCAAATGACATCAGCCTCATCTTCCTGCTTGGAGGAAGGACAACTTTTAATGTAGAAATATGTATTTAAAAAAATGGAGTACCCTGGTGTCCAAATTAATTCATCTCATTGTGACTTAAAGGTGTTCCCCACTCCAAAGAAATCCCTGATTGACCATATCTTTGCTTTTCTAGTTTTAAAACTAAAATTGGTCATTGATTTTTACTTCTACAATTACAAATCCACTAAATCAAGAAAGAATAAAATTCCATTGTGTTTCTTACCAAGACTGAAAGGGGCAGATGTGACACAAGGCACTGATGTATGTAGTCATGAGGGTGGGTGGAATAATGAACCACAGCATGAGGCAGACAGAAAGCAGGATAGATGGTTCCTGTTGCAATAAAGCCATGGTTGCCTCAAAAGAGCAATGTTAGTAAGAATGGTATCAACTTAGTCAAAACCCTGAGTGTGCTTGGATCTCCTGATTTCCTCTTGTGAAACTCTTCCTAGATGCAAACTTCAACTTTAATAAAGACCAGTCAATCTGAGCCTGATGTCTTCATGGTGCTTCTCAAAGTCCTAAAAACACTGGAATCTCTTCCTTCCTTTTGCTTCTCTCATCTGCCTGATATAGTGGGTTGGTGCTACCTGGTTCTTTTCTGTAATATCTGTTGTTGTTGTTGTTTGTAAAGTATATTTTTGGATAATACCAAAAAGAATTACTTGCAAAAGCTAATTTACAAAATCTTAACTGTAACTATGTTCAAAGTAGGAAATATAATGTTACATAAATTATAAAATATTACCTAGCAAAAATGTAGTAGTTGATTGCACATGCTAGTATCAACAAGTGATATAAAATCATTTACTCAAAAATATTAAATTTGGGCTGGGAAGGTGGCTTAGTGGTAGAGTGCTTGCTTAGCATGCATGAAGCCCTGGGTTTGATTCCTCAGTACCACATAAACAGAAAAAGCCAGAAGTGGCGCTGTGGTTCAAGTGGAGTGCTAGCCTTGAGCAAAAGAAGTTCAGTACAATGCCCAGGCCCTGAGTTAAAGCTCCAGGACTGGAAAAAATATTAAGTTTAGTTAACAGTTTAAATGCTGTCTCTATATATGTGTAGATATACACACATCTATACATCTGCACATATTTATTTCTTCTTTCTTATCTATAACCACTTCCTAAGTAAGCCTGATTGTTCCCATTGGCTACTTCCAATGGCCTAGTACTGCCCTGAGAAGTTTCTAGAAAGCTCCTGATTATTTATACATAATTCAAAGTAAATATACTTTAATAATAAATGTGTTTATACTTTACCATATAATTTTACCACAGGATTTTATTAAAAATTTCAATCATTGTTAATAACTATGCTTACATAGAAAACAGAAAACATATCATAAAATACCTTGAAAGAATTGCATCCAAATATAACAAGATCAATAAATACAAGAGGATTTGATTTGTGTTCAAAAAGGATTAAATTTTCATACTAGATCACAAAGGAAAAACTGCATATTTTAGACAGACAAAAACTGGATTAATTCTGAAAGATTGAAAACAAGCAAAATTACACCTTAAGTTGGGACACAGAAAAGAACAAGGGTTGTGATTTTAATACAGGATCACAAAAAAGTGAGAGTTCAGACCAAGGTCTCTCATGACAAACTCATTCCATGTCTGTAAGCCCCGTTGCTGGGAGATTGTTCATTCTATATACTCTTACTCATTTTGTTATATTATCTATTTTTGAAAAGAAATAATCACATTTACGTCTGTATGGGTTATGTTAAACATATACACACAGCAACAGCCACACAGTTATAATCTAAAGTTACGTTTGTGATTTTCTACTAATTGAGTGACCAGCACTGATAGTGTTGTCCTTCATTAAGCCAATGAGATTATCAAAAAGCACTCAAAATCATCTGCTTTATGGGCATGAAATATCTGAGGATCATTGAAGAGGCTTCCAGCATTTTCCATTGAAGAGAATGAGGAGCTTTCATATTTGTGCATCAGTAAAACATTGAAAAAATGGAAATACAAGTTGAAGAATTAGAGTAATCACAAATGTCTATACTTTGCAAAAGGTTTGCTAGATTTGCTAGGAAGAGATGGAAGCTGACTTGGAGAGCTTCACTGAAAATAAACATTTTTTTTTCAGTTGTTTTTTTTTTTTTTGCCAGCCTGAACCCTGGGCCTGGGCACTGTCCCTCAGCTCTTCAGCTCAAAGCTAGTGCTCTACCACTTGAGCCACAGCTCCATCTCTGGCTTTTTCTGCTTATGTGATGCTGAGGAATTGAATCCAGGGCCTCATGAATGCAAGGCAAGCACTCTACCACTGAGCCACTTTCCCAGCCCGAAAATAAACTTTTTTTTTTTTAAGCATAAGTCAAAACAATACCTTTTGGAAACTTTGCAAATGTGTAAAAACAACCAAAATATTAAAGACTTTTTAATGCTGTGTTAAATTTTACATGTTTGGAAAGCATACTGTTTGATGAAATCGTCTCCACGTAGATATATGTAACACAAATTATTCTGGGTCCTCAAGTCTGCACATTGATGACACCAAAATTCTTATTTTTTGTTCAATTCCCAATTAATAATCTTGTGCTTTTTGAAATTCAAACTTCCAAAAGTTCCTCTCCCTTCCCTCACTTCCTTGAGCCTAGGAAACATGAAGGACAATCTAGGCTTATGTAGATGACATCAGATGCTCTAAGTCCCTTTGCTGCGTCTCAGCTCTGTGCTGGGACTGGTGACTTCTGAGAAGAGATGAACTTATCTCCATCTGGACTCACGTTTTGCCCCACCCTCCTCTCTCCTATTCCCATGGCAACAAGCCGTCCACTCCACTAGAAGTCTCTGCTTCAGGCAAACCCCAGTTACCTTCCATGGCAGGCACTCACTGCTGCTTGCCAAACCAAGGGTGGGGTGGGAACATAGGCTGCCCAGGGGCCGCTCGCTCTCCCTCAACAGCATCGCTAAATGTTCTGTCAGCGCAATGTCACATACCACACCCCTCTCCCACATCCATTCCTGGGAGTGGAATGACCCGGGAAGCACAGATTCCAAGAGAAGAGGGTGGAACAAATGGTAACTTTCTTGCTCTCTGCCTGCCAGGCTTTCCACCAAGAGAAGGGAAAGAAAGGGAAGGGCATTGTCAATGCTTCAAGAACGTCTTGCTTTCTTAAAAAGAATTGATATATCCTCATTCTTCTGTGTTTTAGCCTACAACAACCAAAAGTCTTGAGCTTAAGAAACTGGTTTTGCTTGGTGCCATCTATTAGTGGGTCCATGTTGCATGACTAGCATGGAGAAAGCATTTCTTTGAACTTTCAAGGTGAGATACTTGGCAAGTTCCAACCTGAACTATGGGCTCCCATTGGCAGCTACAAAAAAACACAAACTTCACCCCCTTTCTTCTATTACTTTCATACATCGGTCATCCTGGTACAAAGGTCATCATTCATTTTAGAATTGTTATATTACAAAATGGTTTTCCAAAGACAGATCCGTTTGGTAAGACTATTCCTCCAAGGAGTAAGTTTTCCCTTGAAATCAATTTAAGGTCACAATCATGGCAGTCATTTGGAAGGTCCCTATACTGTTAACAAGTGAAACTAAGATTAAAAAGTTTTTTGAGGACTGGAAGGAGTAGAAATGAGAAGAGGAAGTCTAACTTAAACAAATAGACGTTACCAATTGTGAGAAAGTGTAGCAATCTACATTTGTTCTCTCTCCAAGCAGAATATTGAGACAAAGTTCAAAATATTTTGTATCTGGGGAATTACTGCTTCCTGCTGTGAAGTAATAGGATCTGGAATGCATTCACACACACACACACACACACACATACACACACATGCACACACACAACTATAACTAGAAAAAATGATTATAAACTGTCAGACATTGGTCAACAGAACTGCTTAAAACAATGGTCCCTGTAAGGTCTCATCTACATGAGTTTGAAACTAATAAAGAATTCTATAAATAATGAAGAAAAATGCGGTGATCCCTTAGGAAAGGAAATACATGGTATAAGCCCAGAGGGAGCCCTGGATTTCTGTCTAGAAGCAATTTTCAGATGATAGCCCTGGAAGAGCATCGACCCACGCAAAGCCTGGGCTCTTACTGAGTGAATGGTTCAGGAAGACTGAAGAGACTAGAATTTGTATGCCACCCTCCTGTATGGGAGGGAGCTATTTAGAGACACAGTCCTGAAATTCACATTAGGGTTCCTTTATTCTTTGACTTCATATCTATCTTCACAGCAATAATGTACAAAGAATAATTTGGGGAAAATTATGACTCAGACACACCAGGAGGATTCAACCCTCCTCCAGATTTGTGGCTGGGAGTTACTGTTAAGAATGGTAATTTCTTAATTGATCTTGTGGTATTGAAGTTTAATGGAGTTTTTTTTCCCTTTTCTTTAAATGAAGAAAGCTGTCAGGAACCCAATCCTCCCCAGAGCTGCTTGATTGACAACTGTCCACCCTTTTCCCATAGGCTAGCCCTCAGTGATAAATGCCCTGGAAAGGAACCTGAAGATTTCCTCAAGGCAGGCAGGGACAGCAGTCTCATTTCCTTACTTTACCTCTGGGGCATCTGGCGATAGCCAAGAAAAACACTGTTGAAGCTCTGATGCTACAGGAAAACAGCAACAACTGTCACTACGATTGCTGCCATTTCTGCAGAAATGGCCATGATCTTACACGCAAACGCCACCTTCTCTAGTGATTCCTTGAGTTGTCATCCTACGCTAGGTTAAACATCTTAGCAGGGAGATTCTGACCCAGTCACATCCCTAATGAATTCTTGAAATCAGCTGCAGGCGCCTGGGAAGACTTCATTCCTGTCCTGGGAGACTCCACAGCTGGGAGTTCCAACCACAGCTTCACTTTTTGCTTCTTTGGTGTATCAGCTTCAGATGGTCTTTAGATAGTCCTAACTACAGCCACTCCAGATGAACATTCCAAGACACCGTATCTTGGCAGTCCTCCACCCAATCAAGGAGGGTCCCGCTCCTCTCTATGGCAGCTAGGCTATGGAAGCAGTGCCTGCGTCTCATTCCTTAAAACAGGCCAGGGCCTCCTTGCTGTGAATTGCAACCACTGGGCTGCAGTTCAAGCCCTTATCTGAGTGCCTTATTATCTTTTCTTGTCTTCAGCATGAATAGGACAGGATGAGCCAGTAATACCAGAGCAGGCGATTGGAGGCGGTCAGCCCCAGGTACACCCAGCAGCACAGCACAAAGAAGGTGGCTGCCTATGTTTCTTTGTGTTCGGCTTATTTCACTTAATATAATTTTTTTCAAGTCTTTCCATTTCCTTTCAAATGGGGCAATGTCATTCTTTCTGATGGAATCATAGAATTCCATTGTATGTAAATATATATATACACACATATATATGTATGTGCATATATATATATATATGTATATTTTACATTTTCTTGATCCACTCATCCACTGAGAAGCATCTGGGTTGATTCCATATCTTAAATAAGGTAAACATTGCTGCAATGAACATGATTGTGCTAGTGGCTTTAGTGCAGCCTGGTTCATGGTCATTAGGATAAATGCCCAGAAATGAGATTACTGGGTCATAAGGAAGCTCTATGTTTAGTCTTTTGAGGAACCTCCATATTGCTTTTCAGAGTTGTTGAACAAGTTTGCACTCTCACAATCAGTGTAATGATTTCCCTCATTTGTAATAATTAGAATGTGCCTATAAATCTGTAAGTAAACCCAATGGATACTTGGACATGATTAATTAAACAGGACTCTAAACATTCGCACAATGAAACTAAAGGAGGATATTTTTGGAAAAGGATCATAAGGGCTCAATATCTATGTGCATATGATCATATAAAATGATGCAATGAACTCCAGTTTTTCCCCTTTGGTTTATTTTCTTTTGTTGCTGTTTTTGATTTCCATACCCTTTTTCGTGTATGTAAGTTTATCTGATTTGGGGAGGGGAAGGGCAAGCACAGAAACAGTGGGAAAAGGGTGACGCAATTTAGCAATGATACTCACTAGCACTATGTTGGAATGAACTATACAACCTGGGGGTGGGGTGGGTAAGAGGGAGGAGCAAAACAAAGAAAATTAGGGAGGAGATGACACTGTTTGAAAAGAAATGTCCTCATTTCCTGACTTATATAACTGTAACCAACCCCTCTGTACATCACCTTTACAATAAAAAGAAAAAAGAGAGAGAATGAAAGAAAGAAAGAAGAGAGAGAGAGAGACGGAGAGAGAGAGAGAGAGAGAGGAGAAGGGGGGGTAAAGAAAAAAAAAGATGGCCAAAAAGTTCCCAAGAGCAACTGGGAGGGATACTGGAACTAGCAGAGGCTTTAGGACACAAAGGAAGGTAAATAAATGGCTGCCAAGAGCTGACACTGAGAAGGTAAGAGACTACAGAGAGGTGATATTGTGGAAAAGCTGTAAGACCTGGTTGCTGGAGTTCCAGAAAGCCACCAAACTACTAATTCT